CTAAATGAAATAATCTAGTCTTTTATTAGCGGGGTCATTGCCAAGTGCTATCATTATTCAACGAAGAGCTGGTTACACATTGAAAGTAGTTACATTTATCTATTTTGGCAAAGAAAGCGTTCCGTGCAAAATTGTCAATAGACAATACGTCGCAATGCCGGTAATAATTTTATATCGACGTCTCTTACATAACTATAAATACGACAGCATACACCTTTTATAGGTGTATATTAAAACATATTGACATCTTTACTTGTCTATGCTAAGGTTGGTGGACATGGGAGTCCTATTTTTTCAATTGAAAATTCCTTTATACGGCTACTTAAAAAGTAGATAAAGCAAATAAAATGGACTTGTTGTGAACCACCACCCCTGTTGATACATTAGCTGCTAAGAATATTGCCGTGTCTTATTACATAAAAACGTATTTATTCTAAGCAACTTAAAAAACACTTTATAGATAAAAAATAAGAAATATTCTATATAATAGTCGTTGCTCTGAAAACTGAAACTTTCACTGATCCTTGTCATATCCCCAGCTTCGACAGCTGCCAATATTAAGAGCGTTGCGACGCAAGCGCACGCTATTTTAAACGAATGTAGGGCGAGTCAGTAGAACGAACTATCAATAACACCAGGTTACTCGGTTATTTTCAGTAGTAGCGTATGAAATTTAGTCTTCAAAATGTACATGAGCTAAGATTTTCGCATTTAAATAAAACACTTTAGCGGTTTAAAACGCGATAATATTATAGTTAAACTTGTTTGAAAATTATTTTTAACTACGGCCCGACGTTTTAAAACGTTAAAGTGTTTTATTTAAATGTGTACTAGTCGCATAAACTACAGACAGTATTTAGGCTTTTCGCATCAAGCCAATTAATTGGTTATGATATAAAAATATTAGCCCAAATTTTGTGTAAGTCACTCCTGTGTCAAGCCCGGCCGAAACTATTTACTTTTCCTTAGGATTTGAACCACAGAAATTCTTGCATTTAATCACGGCTGTTGCCAAGATTTAGAAGAAAATACATGTCTTACTAAATAAATAATACGAATAAACACTTATGCTACAATTATTGAATTAAATATAAAGTGTGTAATGGCCGTTACATTTATTTTCGTACAATTCAAAGTTTGGAATGAAATCAAACCCAGGTCTTTAGCCTCGGCGATTCGATCAGTCACCCCTGGATACAGAGGTCAACGACATTCAGGTTGAAAATCAAAACAGGATTCATATCATTTTGGATCTTACTCGACGTCCTAATACCAAGTTTGAAGCAATGTTGATAAAATTAATGCATCCTCAATTTTAAATAAAATGTATTACAGTCTTTCCGCAATATCGAAGTAATAAAAAATATATAGAACATCTCGATCGGCAGATAAAACAACAAATGTACATAACTCGTAGGATAATAAAAAGAGGAAAAAATTAACTACATATATACATACCTAAGCTACATGATAGTATACACTGTTCTTATTAGATCCGCGTCCTAAAGAAACCCTAAAAATTAACGTCTACGCGTTCACTCATTCATCTCTTTGTCGTGGAAGATGAGCCTATTCAATCGACGGAAGGTGATGCCCCGGCTGTATAACATCTAATCACGATGCGCTGACGGCCTATTTATCTTTGAGCTTTGAAAAATCCGCACAGTAAAAGCAAAGCGCGAAGTTATGGTGGACCCGGTTGGAAACTAATCACGGCTCCTTGGATAACTATTGACACCACTGTACCACCGAGTCCGCCCAAATTTATATAAATAGATATTAATTTACGTACTAAACTACTTACTACTTATACTAGGACTAGCTGTGTCAGCGACTTTGTCTCTGTAGAATAGTTATTTTGTAGGCATACTCATGTTTAACTCTGAATTTAAGCTGTCACCCATAACGTCGTCCGTGTCCCGTCGCCCTTGCAAGTTAATCTTATAAAATAGACATATATTGTCGGGCACACTTTTTTACCTCATTTAAATAGGAATCTAAGGATGAATAATATTCCAGGTTTTTTTTTTCATATTTTACGCTCTTTCTTTGCTCCTATTAATTCGCAGCGTAATGTAACGATAAATGCTCTAACCAATACAAAAATAAATTTATAAATTTGAACCGGTAGTTCCTGATATTAGCGTGTTTAAACAACCAAACAAACTCTTCAGCTTTATATATTAGTATATGGAGCGTAATGAGAGCGGAAAGATGTCCGCTCACGAACGCAACGTCCTCTAAACAGCAAAACCCGTCAAATAGACGTTTAAAATCGAGTCGATGATGTCACGTGAAACGCTCTTCAAATTGGCTGAGTAAATAATTAATATTTTCGATGACAACGCGCATATGAGATCGAGCGAGCAAAACAAATAACACGAACATACACCGGTGTAAACGTTCTTGGCTACGCTAAATTATATTAGCGTAGCATTCAATTTAAGCGAAACTGCAAAAAAGATTTCATAATCACTTAAGAAAGACGGGGCTGCCTAACATATACAAATTTTTACATTACTTAAAGTAATACCAAAGATTTATCTTTGGAATTAGTTCAAGTTGCATTTCAACAAGATTGTAAGAAGGTTTTAATTTCATTAAAGCACTAGCTGTGTCAGCGACTTCGTCCGCGTAGAATAGTTGTTTTGGGCATCCAAATTTGTTTTCGGAAACCTACATACATATTTATAAATTTAAGCTGCCCACGATATCGATCGTGTCCCGTCGTTCTGGCAAGTAATTCTTAAAAGATAGACATATAACCTTCGATAAATGCTCTAAGACTAAAATATTTTTTCGATACGAACCCGTAGTTCCTGAGATTAGCGCGTTCAAACAAACAAACTCTTCAGTTTTATATATTAGAATAAATTAACTAAGCTATTGACAAAATTATAAAATGCATTGCATGCAATTTCTAAGGAATGCAGATCCTTTCAAATTACGAAAACCTAACTCAACTTACTTTGATTGAACTAAGTGTTTATTTATGTATATTTATTAAGGTGCGATACATAACGTAAGGTCATAAAATTAATGCAGGGCACGACAGTACTATAAAACACAATGATTTTTCGTTTAACGTAAATAATGCAGAGCTTTAGCAAACAAGTGCTACAGCATAAGTAAACAAGCAATAATAGAAATGGGAAAGAAATCACTTCGCGAAATGTATTTATTCGGCCTAGTTTTGCACTGGCCTCGACCACAATAACTAACCCATTATATGATCTTCTATCAATATTTGTAACTCTAGAAGCCATTTGAAAATCTTGTTAGAAATAGTTACCATACTCTAGTATATATCTTAATTACACTTCCTTTCTACACCCAGTCTATTATTATTTTATGAAAAAAAAAAAAGAAATTTAACTGATTAGCATTAGCAAACCTTTTTATTATACCTATATTTAACAACTAGGTACGTACAATAGTTTCGTGACGCGACTAAAATGTATTTTAATATGATTATTATTATAGATTTTTTTTAATGTGTGCAATATGTATTGCCTGTAGTTTACGCAACTAGTACACATTAAAAAAAAAACACTTTAACGGTTTAAAACGCGATATATATTAGTTAAACTTGACCGAGACCATGGCTGCTGCAAAGCATTCGGAACGTCGGGCCGTAGTTATAATAATTACCAAAAAAGTTTTACTAACGTATATCGCTTTTTATATCGTTAAAGTGTTTTATTTAAATGTTTGCGACACAGCAAACGAGAATTACAGCGAAGAAAGCTGCAGCCGAGTCTGGTACCTTTTAGTACAGAACATTTATTATTCCGTACTTTTATTTGTGTACCTTATCATATCATACATAAAACGGTTACAAAAGAAAGAACTCGTTGGCCCAAAGCAGAAATGTATGTATCCATCAGAAAAATTTGGCCGTTAAACGGGTAGTAGGAACGTCCGGTTTACAAAGTACCGTCAACAAATAAAAAGCCAAACAAATTTCCCAAGGAAAAAATAAGTTGTCACACTGCACTCGCTATACTACTATTCCACTTTCCATGAAGTGAACCACATGCCTGCCTGTCCTCCTCTTTTAACATATTTTATAATTTACGATCGTGTACATGTACAAAGATAGCAAGAAAGAAAGAAATTTATTGACTACTAAGGCACACAAAAGTCTATATATTAGACTTATTACTAAAACATAAAAACAAAACAATTTAATATTAACTGGATAAAATAATGTTGTGTGCTGCTAGTAGAATAGGATCTTACTCAGTTTAAATGAGGCCCTTTGTTGACCTGAAACTGATTTTCAGTAAGTCCTTAGAGTATGGACAGCGCGGTCACACGCAAGTGAAAAAAAATCGCGTTAATAATATATAGATAACACCGTTTTCTAAATATCATCAATGCATAGAGGAAGCTTTTAACTAAATCATAATATACAGTATTCAGACGCAATCCGGCGCAACATCCACTCGTTAGCTTTGCGAGTTCGCATCGAAAATGAATGGAGCCCGATTTATGTATGGGAGAATGAAAAGTTTATTGACGATTCAAATATCAATAGCGACGTAAGCAAATATTATTTTATTTAGAATTGTAAAATGTTAGAGACACAAAGTGAAATTAAATAGGGAATATTATGAATTTGATGAATTGAAACTACCTTCTATTTGCGTTTTTTTTCCTCTATACTGAATGGCCATTAATATCAAAAATAACTAATCATTTAATATCATATTGTAGGCAATTATACTCGTTCCAGCCTATTAATGTTCTACTGCTCGACAAAAGTCCATTCTCCCGTGAGAAAAAGGTTTATGAACGTTAGAAACGCAAAAACTCTGTTGGGAATATTAAAGACTACTACCACTGCCACTAAACTAGCGATGGCAATGGAGTCCATTTCACCAGCCTTAATAGTCGGTCTGAAGCAGAATAAACCACCTCCTAATTCATAAGCGAATTCATATGGTTTAGAAGACATACCGAAATATTTTTCTCGTGATTCGCATTTTAAAGAGATTCTATTTCACGCTATCGAGATTTACTATCACACCAGTACACGAACCTTGGGCAGTGCCGGCCGTTTCATACTTCGATTTGAGCTTAGCGGCCGTCGCCCGTGCGTCTGACCTGACGCTGTCCGTACTCGAAGACCTCGAGCTGAACGAGAGCGTCGTCGAGAAGGTGGACGAAAAAGATGATCCCAGGCCTAAGCCGAGTGTGGTCCGATAGCGGCGACGATACATATTAATCACGTATTATTCTGACGGCGGTGCGCGTGCGACTGAAAAGCTCTCGTCCTGCGCACGCGCCCGATCCGGAAAAGCGACCGCGGTTTATTACGGGAAGACAAGACTGACGCATGAACTGAATAATCGATAGTGCTTAGTTCTGCTGAGTTAAAGGGCGGCAAATTAATCCTATTTAGAGATTTGTTCGTGGAAGCGTAGACAGTGTAAAAATACTGCGTTACTACGTTTGTAACACTTAGCAAGACTAATATTGTAAATGCGAAAGTAACTCTGTCTGTCTGTCCGTCTTTAATGCCGAAACAACTGAACCGATTTGAATTAAATTTGGTACACATAATAGAGCCTGAGAAAGAACATAGGCTACTTTTTAATGCCAAAAACGGGGTTATTAGGGGTTGAAAAGGGGAATGAACGTTTGTATGGAAATTCGTGATTTTTGAAGAACAATGAAACTTTCTTTGACTTTTTGGAAATAGGAATTTAAGAAAAAAAATGTACGCTTCTAAAATATATGTTTTTTTTAATGATAGAGAGACGGGGACAAACAAGCACGGAGTCCACTTGATGGAAAATACCCCAACCATATGACATCTAAACAAGAATCTGCTGTCGACCTATGTTGGTTTTTATTTTAAAATATAGGACTTAGATACACTTGAGATCCATTAGTTCAGCCTTGCGTAAATTGAGAAACTAAAAAAAGAACTGCGAACCCACCCCCAAGAAAGGGAAATCTACTGCAACTTTGTCTCTTTCGTGTTATTTTGCTTAAATCATATAGATACTTGAACCCTAAAAATCAATGTTAGGATCTAAATAAAACTAAGCCTGTAATGCTATACTTAGAATTAGGTGAATTAGAATTGTCTGTATGTTGTTATTTTTCGAAAAATTACCAAATGTTGTGTCTTGTATCAGAATGTAGCTTTCTATCTTATTAAATCAATTTCGTTCCATGGTAACATGTACATAATTACATATGTACATGTTACATATAACTATAAGGACCATCCCTTAATAAATTGAGGTTGTCACCAAGGGACAAACAATAAATTACAAGCTGTCTATACTGATAAATACAGGTTGTTCCACTAACCTACTTGAGTAGCTTGTATGTTGTTATTGTAATAAACAAAGACGAAGGGTGTCAATGTATACATAAAAAGAATACAAAATTTTGGCTCTATGAAAAAGGAAAATTCAAAGCCTCACTATAGTTATAATTATTTAAAGCACTAAATTAAATTACTAGTATACTTCATTAAGTTTTTGTTTTATATTGTTTGTTTAATTCATATTCTAGTTCCATAGTGCATAGTCCCCTCATTCTGCTGCTGCTACTCTACTATTTGGTGATGCAGAAGCTAAATGCGTTCTTCCATTCACAAACACTCTTTTTTTGTTTTTAATTTATCTTTCATAATATTTTATAAAATAGTTATTATTAACATATTAATGCATTGAAAGTTTTCTGCCATTTTTTATGTGTATGTGTCTCGTAAGGTAATTTGTTTGTTCATTTAAGTAGTATTAATAACACAAAATATATGAAAATGATTTGTTGTTATAAACATAATACGTTGTAAATGTGTTCACCAAAATTATTTGAAATAACCTTTAAAACCATATTTTTTCAATTTAAAAATGCATTTCATTTCCAAGAGCGCCAATAAGGACTAATGTGACTACACAATTAATAGAATACCAATAGTAAAAGTCCGCCGGCCCAGGGGGTAGCCACAAGTCATAGCATTCCTGTGTAAAACTTAATGAACATCAAAAGAATGAGAATTTTTGTCACATTTATCAAAACTTGATATGTAAAACTGACAGATGATATTTATTATCATAGCTATAAATAACTACAGTAATACTATTGTCATATGTAATGTATTACAATAACATTACATATGTAATACCTCACATTTATTATCACAAATATTAAAACAAAAAAAAAAGCAATGTCTATACTATTTCTTTACTTGTTTTTTTGTTTAAGTAAGTATTCAATAATAATTTTGATTGTGCTTCTATAACATACGGAAATTGTGTCCATATTATGTATTAAAATGTTATTCATTTTATACATATCTGTGGTAGTACAAACGTCAGACATAAATCAATACCTTTATCTATACATTACTATGCAAAAAAACTTTAGGACCCAAAAGATACCTACATACATATAAAGATAAAAAATTGTAATAAAAATCTAATGTTATATTTTGGATTATAAATTTGTAATTGCTCTATCACATAATTAATCATTAAAAGTAATATTTTTTAGAATACATGTTTATTGCATTTTCACAATATAACCAGAGATTTCAGACTTTATATTATATTCTATAAAAATAATATACTTATTTTTATCAAATATGCCTTTCAATTGAATACAAGCAGTTTTCATTTTGATAACTTCTACATATTATTTCTTAAGTAAATAATGAACCTGTCAAACCTATTAATATTAACATACAAAACTGGTTCTACATCCTGTGTTAGTGTATTTAGTCACTTTGAAATCACCAAATCATAATTTGGGAATGTATGTTATTAAGATGCTAATAGATAAAGTTATAACTCACCATTGAGAGACCAAATATGCGAAGGTAGTGAGTGCGCTGCGTAAACTCGTCCAAGGGACAAAGAAGTACCAGCGACTGGACCTGCCTCTTCGTTTGAGCTGGAATCCGTGTCGGGGCTGGCTGCTGCGGAAGCCTCGTAACTTTGAGAGTTAGGAGGTATAGCAATCGCTTCATGTGATGTGTGGAGATCCGGCACCGACGACAGCGACCTAGCGCGCTGCCTGTCACTAGACACTTGTATACCGGGAATAGCCCTCAACAAACTGAAGCCTGCGCTGCCCGACACTACATCCGACCCAGAACTGGTCGAGAATGTCCTCGGCCGCGGACTCTGGCCCCCATTTGCGGTACTGGCTTTAGCGCCCATCGCGACGGTATTACGCAAAAGGCGTTACTCACGACACAACTTGTAAATCACAAATTCATACGCAATACAATGCCTCCTCCGTTGGAAGGCATTGTACAAATCAAGGACCGATTACGTGAAACTCTAAACGACAAACAGAAGGACGTCGAAAGCAACTTGTAAACAGCGATCAGCGTTTGCATGTGTGACTTGAGATTTTTTCCGCAACATTTTGTATTGACATTGACATAAGAATAAAGACTATATCCTCAGTTTTTATAACTTTTTTAATACGAGCGCAGTATGTGGCTACATATTTAAAATATTTAACTTTATAAATTTTCGTCAGTTGGGTGTTATTAATGCGTCTTCGTGTCAAGTTCCACTTGTTGGCCTGTGACCTGGGCCGACAAGAACAGAGCTAGAGAAGGACCAAAGCTTTAAAAACCCTAGCCACATCATAATGTGTATTCTGGAATTCAGTAAGCGTTAGAGACATCGTTTTCGCCGGAGAAGACTGTACCGTGTACCATATGGGTGGGTGACGAGGGTTTCCATCTACATGGTGGTACAAGCCGACAGCCAGCCAAAAAGCTACACTTGGTCTAGCTGCAGACAGACATTTAGCACTCTGTTTCAAACGTCACTTTTTAATGGTCTCTGTTTAGTAATCATCTGTAGTATTTTGTTGTTATTCATAATATCGTTATCGCTAATTGCCACAATTCATAAATCTTTGTTTCTTGTTTCTAACAAGGATTAATTAAATATTAGGCTAAATAAATTGAGAGGCCACTACTATTTTAATTGCAAGCTTAACTTATATAAAAATAAAACTTTCACTTTTAATCTATTAAACATATTGTTATATTATCTTGATATAGTAGAGTACCAGAATGAATTCTGCCACGGTAAGTTAATGTAAAAAGCAAATATTAACAATATGTAACTCTGATTAATTAAACGTTGTCTTAATTATTTATTTCTGAAATAGAAGGCTGGTTTAATTTGCGAATTTCGTCATGTTTTTAACTAGTATACAGGTTGAAATCATAAAACTAGCATGTTTAGTGATCATCCATAACTGTTCTTAATTAAGACATAACCCTCATAGAGTAGTTGCATTTCACTTGCTTCGCACGGCTTTATAATGTAGATGCGTATTGCGCCTTATTACAGCCAGGTGTCCCTCAGGTGCCGTTGCTAGATGACGATACGATTGCCTTTGGAGAGGAAGATAATGCAAACAAACAGTTTGTGTAAGTGTTCAGACCACCATATAGACTTTAAGAACTTTCTTCTTTATCTATTATTATTCCAATATTCTGTCTTGCATGTCAAACCAATATTTTTTTAATAATTTGCCTAATCACACCTATTATGAGATATCTTGTCTTTAGTAACAATTTAATAATTTGTTTAATCACACATCATATGACAATTGTACCCCCATGTCAACATGGAGATAATTACAAGACCATAAAATGAATTTCTCGAGATTTAAGTTTCTTTAACTGCTTTTAAAAAAAATAGCCATACTTACATACTTGCAAGTTTTATAGCTTTGAACCAATGATTAATTGACATTTAACTGATTTTCAGACATCCATACATAGTATTCTTTCACCTGATCTTCCGGTGCTCAGCAATTGTGGTGTACATACTATGTGGGTGGTTTTCGGACTCATTTATAGCGAGCTTTGTGTTGGTGACACTATTACTCTCTGCTGACTTCTGGACTGTTAAGAATATTAGTGGTAAGTTGTGCCAGTTTATTTTGAATTTAAGTATTTCATTATTCAATTATATTAGACTAATTTAAAATGTAAAAGTACATAATTTAAATATTTTTTGCAGTTCATACAATAAATACATATTCAAAGCGTTATAATTTATGAAATATTTTAGTTAATTTAATTTTAACTAATCTGAAGCTCCACAGCATTAGCAATTTCAAGTTAAGTTTAACTAAAATGCTTCGTGTCTAAATTTGTGTTTAATGTTTTATATAACTTAAGGTTCTTTAAATTATTTAAAAGTATTAATAGCAGTAATCTTTATTCTATCCAGGGCGCCTTTTGGTTGGTCTGAGGTGGTGGAATTATGTGGATGATGATGGAAAGTCACATTGGGTCTTTGAGTCAAAACAGGTAATAAGTTATATTATGTACTAGCTGTGTCAGCGACTTCGTCCGCGTACAATAGTTATTTTGGGCATACAAAGTTTGTTTTGCAAACCTCTTCTCTTTATAAACTTCTTCATTTCCATCTTCTTCAATTTAATCCTAAAAAATGGATATTTTTTTAAATCAATTCAAGAGGAATTATTTTTTCATATAATACATATTCTTGGATATCGATATGGATTGAACCGTTTTTGCAACATATGCCTCAGAAACCCATAATGATGAATAATTTTCCCATTTTTTTTTAAATATTTCTTGCTATATCTTGTATTAATCACATGGCAAAGTTTTATCGCCTTCCTCAATAAATGCTCCAACCAACCAACAAAAAGAATTTTTCAATTCAAACCCGTAGTTCCTGAGATTAGTGCGTTCAAACATACAAACAAACAAACTCTTCAGCTTAATATATTAGTATAGATGTAACATATTTATTGATTATATTAAAATTAGTTACAATATTCATTTTTATATAACCCTTGTTTATGACAAAAAATGTTTTGACATACTATCTAAATGCTAATTAAGAACATTAAACATTTCAGAACCGTATCAACCGCAATGAGAGCCGTCTCTTCTGGCTGGGATTGATTCTGTGCCCACTCATCTGGTCTGGGTTCTTCATTATTTGTTTACTGAGCCTCAAATTCAAATGGATGGTAAGAATCGTAAAGATCTTTTATTAAATTCTAGCTGCCCTAGTTGGGTTTTAATTTTGATTAAGGATATTTATGGCATGTGCTCTATTTGTGTTGTAGTATCAGTTACATTTAGACAGAAAAAAAAGGGAAATAGTTTTTTGGTTTAGATTAGAGTATTACATTTAAACAAAACATTTATAACATCTTAAAACAAAACACGTTGAGGTGAGTAGCAGTAATTGAGTAGGGCTATAATAAATATGTTCAACTTGTTTTGTTAGAATAAGTATTGTATTTCAGATTTTGTTAAGTAACACATCAATTGAACTCATTTTTTCATTACTATAACTGGTAATTAAATAGTAAAAGGTAGACTAAAATTTTATTTAATCCTTTAAAATTTTGTCATTAATTTTCCAGTTATTGGTCATGATCGCGCTTACGCTGACTGGGGCCAACTTATACGGTTACATCAAATGCAAATTTGGAGCAAAAGAAAACCTGAAGTCGGCGACCACAGATTTTGTCAAGAGGCAGATATTTGCAAATGCAACTTCCTTCATGTTTACTCAACCAGCGCCACCTACTGTCAATCCTAACACTGGTGTAGTTTAGGCAAAAGCAATATTACAAAAACTAATTATTTTAGTTACCTATCCTTCACATATGACATGTAATACAGGTACAAATATCTTTTGTAATACAAGCTACTATAGTTCAATATGAGTTCTATCATTGAATTGTAATTTGACTACATAATTGCTATCATGTGTATGTCTTTAGCGTTTAATAACTGTGTATATATATGTATGATTAAAATTCTTCAAACAACTTAATTTAATATTTATGAAAATAAAATGTTAAGTGAATATTTTTGTTTGTCTAATACTGTGGCAGATGGGGTTATTCTTGTGAGAAAAGGTGCGTTCTCTCCCAGTTCTGGCTATTTCAAATAGGCTATAATTTTTAGTTCTACATACTATATTGGTTAAAATAGTCAGCTTTTCTATGTTTGGTTTTATAAATGAATTATTTTTCATGTAAGGGTAAGTTTACAACTTTAGGCGCAATATTGCGTTCTTTAAGTCTTAAAATAAGCTATATTTTATAACCGAACTTGGGCTAGAACAATAAACCCAGAAATAATAAAAAAATCTTAAATTTTGGCATTCATTTTAATATTTAGTCAATTATGCACATTTCTAAACAATTTTTACCATTTTAAAGTCTTTATCCTTATACATATTATTCCTTTTATTAATCGAAAATAAAATTAAACGGTTTTATATTTCATAAATAATTATATTTTTATTACGAGGACACTGAGAAAATTTGACGTCTCAAAAAATCTCTTAAACTAAATTGAACACTTCCAAATTGTAACCAATAATAACTACTACTTAAAAATAACAAAAACAATCTTTTAAAAATAATCAAAAATATGCTCCAGGTGAGGCTCGAACTCACAACCCCGGCATATCTCACACGAACACTGTCTTATAAGTACCGTGCGCTAACCAATTGCGCCACTGGAGCTATGTGAAATCGTTTGAAAATAACTAACCGTTTGGGATTCACTAATTTAACTTTAGGATAATATTGTTTTGATTTTATCTTATGTTTCTTACTCTGAAAATTAATAAGAATCTTACAGACCTGTTTATGTAATAGAAACCGTGTAATTTATGATTTTAAAATAGATTTCAATGCTTAAAAGTAGCTCTTACGGAAGTTGTAATGCTATCCTTTGACAGTTAAGTTTTGACATTGACGTTTAGTTTGTAGGTCAGAAAAGATAAACAAAATGGAATGGAATGTAAACGTCACCTGTGCCTGTATTTTGTTATGACCGAGTAAAAATAAATAATTTGATCTAAACTACACTAACAACAATCTGATTTAATTTCCATTGTTTTATACACATGTAATGGTTTCTCAAAATGAATTGGTTCGACACTTCGGGGTTTACTAGTCTAGCCAAAAGTGCATTAAAGGAAGCTCAAAAGACTATCGACAAAGCCTTAGACATCCAAGATGAGAGTGAAGAAGAACAAGAGGGTAGCTCATCGGTACAACCAGCGAAGAATAGCTCTCCTGCAAGTGGGACTACGCCTCAAAAGGATAAATCAGATTTTTTTTCTTCTTGGGGACTAACAGTTAGTGGAGAAGAAAGTAAGGATAGTCCAATAAAACAACAACCAGTTGTGACTGAGAGCCCATCTAAGGCAAACTCACAAAGTGTTTGGGGGTCCTTTGCAGGTTCATTTTTTGAACAGCCTAAGTCAGATGAAGGCACTATAATACGCCCTCCAAAAGCTAAATCTTTAAATGTGATATCAGATAAATATGACAGCCAAGATGACTTATTTTCTAAGAGCCAACTTATTATGTCAGATGGGACTGAAGGTACACACTCAAAAGTAAATGAATCAAAGACTGAAGATAGACGTAAGTCTTCATTATCAAATGCTCTTTCTTTTATGTCCAGTAGAAACAGTTCAGACTCTGTTGAGGTTTTGTCACAAAGCCTTAAAACAACCCCAGATTCAGAGGTTTCTTCCTACCAATCGGCTTCAAAAAGTAGTAGTATGGGGCTGAAACATAATTCTGAATCTGTAGAAATTTTACCAGATAGTTTGATTAGCCCAAGTTCTATAGAATGTCTTGGTTTTGATAGTTATTCAAGTGACAAAAATAGTAGTACTTCTTCGAATATATCTCCCAGTGATGGATTAGATAAAAAATCTACTCCAGTCGGAGATCATTCTGGTAGGGGGGAGACTGCCGACAGTGTAAGTGTAGTGGCTGATGATGACGAAGATACTATGTCCTATAATTCCATATCAGAGTGCACGGCTCCAACAGTTCTTGACACAGATGAAAAGCCAATTAGCTCTCACCCAAAGATAACTAGACATGATCAAAGAAAAGTAGAAAAGGACCTATTAAATGTTGACCCACTTGTATTGCAAAGAATGCAATTAAGTGACAATTCTAATGATGGCACGTGGTCAGATCGGACCTTGAATGCTGATAATGATAGTATAAATTTAGAAAATACAACTGACAAACAGAAGGATGGGGATCCTGATGATATTTTAATAGAGAAATTAAGTGACTCATCTTCATTTTATAATGTAAATGTCAGTGGAGATTTCCTCAGATCGGAAAGCTCTGCATTTGTTAACATAGAGAGACAGGTACATAGTCCTCCTTTGAGTAATGATTCATCTCAAAAAGACTGCTGTGCAAAAGAACGGACATCTCCTACGAGTTCAGACAGCAAAAGCGATTTAGTTAAAATTGGGTCAGACCGAACATCAGGCCATACATCAGGTGATGAGGTGGAAACTGCAACATCTTCTGATATAGAAATCATACCTAGCCCCAATGGAGACAACGGTCACAGAAATAGTCCAGGAAAATATCCATTTAGGCACAAGGCAGATGGAACTACATCTCCTAACCTAGTTGATTTGGTGCTGGGAAAAAATTTAGCAACCAAAATTCGCGGTCACACGCCGAGAATTATCAGATGCCTCTATAAAAAGCAATATAAGTGACGAAAGCCAGAGTTCTGAAAATGAGAGACTAATGCGACGGCTAAGTGAAATGGCAGAAATACTGGATGCTCGTGAAAGTAGACTTATGGAGGTAAGCAGAAGTCATGCGGAGTTAGCTGAGAGTAATGCCTGCTTAAAACATCAGATGGAATCACTGTTGGCCAAACAAGAGAGTAGCGACATTAATACAATCACAGAGGACTACACACAGCGGTTGTCGGCATTAGAGAAAAAGTTCCAACAAGCAATTAGAGAAAAGGTAAGTGATAATCATTAAAAAAATATAAATAATCTATAGTGCATTGACCATGTTATTTATTTACCTTCAGGATCAGCTAAGAAAGCAATTAGATAATTTCAAACAAGAAGTAGCTAGAAAGAATGCAACGGGTGTAGAGGCTCTGCTCAAAGAAAAAGAAGATATGATAGCCCAGTTACAGGAGGAGGGGGAAAAATTGGCCAGACAAGAACTTCAGCATTCTAACATTATCAAGAAATTAAGAGCCAAGGAGCGTGATAATGAACAGGTTATTAAGGGGTTGCGGTAAGTTTTACTATTTGTATATTTTCCTATAGTTTCTCCATATCAAACATTGTCTTTTAGAATTTCCCTCTTATAAAAATCCATCTACACGTCATACTATTTCGTTAGTTTCTTTTTAGGTTTTGACTACCCTATGTTTGAAATTTTCCTGTTAGATTCAGGTTACCTATTGATGATGGCGTAACTCTTTCAAGGCTCCCAGTTTCAAGTTTTAGCTTAGGATTTCATTGCTAGAATTCTTCTGGATTCACTTTTCGTGTATTTTACCTGTGTTTTTTATTAATATTGAATTAAATTTATATCTTAATATTATGTGCAACATAGTGACAAGATAGCAGAGCAAACTGCAGAGTTGGATCGCATGAAACGGTCTTTGGCTGCTAAAGAGGAAGTTGAAGTTAGTCAGATCGAAGCTGTCTATCGGCTTACCACTACCAACAAGAAGTTAGACGCTGAACTTATAGAGGTGGGTTTGGATTGATTTTTTTTTTTAATAAGAATGGAATGTTATTTGAATTTGAAATCGATTTTAGATTGAAAATAATTTACGACACGGGCTCTAACTAATTGAGTTACCGTCTCCAACACGTCATATTTTCAACCTATACCTCAACACTTGCGTATTAAGGTATTTCGGTTGAAAATTCCGACATTACTATATGTCGCTAGCCTAATTTAAATATATAGCAAAAACACATTTTGGGTTGTCAAGCAAACTTCTCTTACCAATATACATATACATACCTTAATTGATCTCTTCCACAACTGATGATAATTTTTGTTCAGACGAAAAGCGCTCTCGATGACACCACCCAGAATTTGGTGAGCACTAAAACATCGTTAGAAGCTGCAAGGCATGAGATTCATGAGCTACAACGAAGTGTCTCTGACCTGCAAAAGTTAAGATCGGGAAGCAGTCAGCTGGAAATGGAACGGGAAAGAGCTGAACGGAAAGTGGAGATGCTAAAACATGAATTGCAACAGCTGCGAATGGAGAGAGCTAGAGGTGTGTATAAAATAGAGATAAAAGAGATTTTATTTAATTTAGACGTGTAGTACACATTTAAATAAAACATTTTAAACGGTTTGATGATATGTCGGTCGGGTTCGATGCTCTTCAGATCCAACATGTTTATAATCTTTTTTTTAATACGATGGAAATCTAGATTTTAAGTGTGTGGTAGATATATCGAAGTTTCGTCTTCTTCACGAACTACCGTCCACTGCCAGTCTAATTATTTCCGAATATCAAAGCCAAAATAAGTCGACAACGCATTGTGTTTAGATAAGATATAGCTGCGGTATTTACCTTCCATCAAGTGTACTTTTCACTTGTCTTTCTTTCTATTTCATAAAAAACTTTGTTTAATCGAGTACAAATTAAATACTTTTTAAGTAATTTTTCACTTAAACAGTTATCCTTATGTACTTTTCACAGAGGAAGCTAGATGGGTCTCACGCGAGGAAGCCTTGCGACGTGAGGTGGGCGAAGCCCGAGAAATGGGAGCGCTAGAGCGCGCTGAAGGAGATACGATGCCCCACGCCGCGTTACTGGAGCAAGTGGCAGCCCTACAACGTGCCGCGCTCGACCGGGACCGAGCTAGGGCTGCAACTAATGCGAGACTCGGTAAATCTAAAAGTATTTTTGGGTTAATGTTCTTTTCTCCGGTGTCCTTGGCTTAATTGTATATATATATATAATTGGCTTAAAGCTTCCGTTACCAGGCCATAATTTATTATTTAAAAAAAACATACATACAAGAGTTTGAGTTTTATCATCATCTGTAAACATTGACTGTTAATTATTAATAGGACACATTTAAAGCATTCAAATGCGATGTATATTTACGTCGGTTTGTTAAAACAAATTTTAAATACGTAAACAATATATTTTGCGTTAGGCTTATTTAGATGATCATCTCCCGATGATGCCCGACGCGATGGCGAAACGTTGAGAACCTCTTCTCGCTCACGTCGGCCGAGCATCCCGAAAAACAGTGATATAATATATATTGCGTTTAAAACCGTGAGAAGTTCTTTTAAAATTTCCTACTGTCAAATATTAAAATCAGTCAATTTGAATCAACCGTTCGTGAAGTGTACGGAACACACTAACACATCTAGGAAACGAACAAACGCAATACACACAATTGTTATTTATTTATTTTATATTTTTGCAGCCGAAATCGAGACGTTAGCAGCAAAAGCGACGGAAAGGGAACGTCTTACTCGCGAAGAAAACGCCGCGCTAGTGGAGCGCCTTAGCATATCTGATAGTTTACAACGCGAGGCTCAAACCCGTTTAGACACACTCACTGAACATTGGCGGGACGCACAGAATCGCTGCGCACAACTGGAAGACGAACTTCGAAAGTGAGTTGGCATGTTTCCTAAAAAAAAGGAAAGTCTCTGGGTGTGTGTGATAACATGTCATGTTATTTTTATCTTCATGTTGTTTTTTTAGCAAAACAAAAGAGTTAGATGAACTTAGAAGCTCTACAGAGAAAAAGATAACAGATTTAGAGAGGCGAGTGAGCGAGACAGAACGCCTATTAGAAGAAGAACGCATTACTCTCGATACAGAAAGGAAACGTAACGCTATACTTCAGGTAAGCGGTTTACTATTTATAAATTACTTACTGTTTTAGTACAAATTACAAAAAAAAAACAAAAAGAACACATATTTTAATTACATTCAACTATCACACTATTATCTGAATTCAAAATAAAACACTTTAAACGGCTTAAAACGCGATGTATATCAGTTGACTCATTTTAACTATATTTAGACACCGTATCCGAAACGTCGTTTCATAGTTAGTAAATTAACTTACATGTACTACAGACTATCATCCAACTAAAACTGTACGTTTGCACTTTTCAAATAATTCTAACATAAACATTTCTAAAGATGTGGCCGACTAGTCGATCGACCAGTCGATATATTCATACAGCAGACTCGATTCTCGATTCAGCCGTTCGGTGTCCACTGCTGGACATAGGCCTCCCCCATAGACTTCCAGTACGACCGGTCGTTCGCTAGTTGAATCCAAGGTTTCCCTGCTACCTTGACCAGGTCGGTCAAGGTGCAGGGAAACCTAGGAGTCGGCCCACCTGGTAGGAGGTCGTCCAGGTTTTCGACGTCCGCTACTTGGTCTCCACTCCAGAACCTTTTTGCCCCAACGGCCGTCAGTTCTACGAGCGATGTGCCCAGCCCACTGCCACTTCAGCTTGCAAATTCGATGGGCTATGTCAGTGACTTTAGTTTTTCTACGGATCTCCTCATTCCTGATTCGATCACGCAGGGTAACTCCGAGCATAGCCCTTTCCATCGCACACTGAGCGTCGCGTAGTCTGTGCACCATGCTTGCGGTAGGAGACCATGTTTCGGTACCGTACGTCATCACTGGTAAAACACACCTCTGGAACACTTTAGTTCATACAGCAGACTGCTGAAATACTATTATAATGGTTCATTTTCAATTTTCCTTTTTCGTTGACAGGAGCAGTTATCAACTCGCGTCGATGTGTCTCCGCCTCAATCCGTTATATCGGACACATTGTCCAATTCATTATGGAATGTAAGTTTATTTTAATTCATGTGTAAAGAGATATTATATATTTTATTACATAGTAACGTAACATAGTTCTGGTTATATAATAGTAAAAACTTTAACATTTACAAAACCTTACAAAGGTAAGCCTCCCCCCACAGTAAGAATGCAAATGCTAAAAAAATTAATTCTACCTGTGAGGATTATAGCATATAAAATGTCTCAAATGTCACTGTATCATGCAGGAAGAAGTGAGTGGGAATGCGATAGGCCCCCTTTGGGTACCTCAAACGCTGAGCCTTGAAAGACCTGGAACGGGGACGCAGAGTGCGGTAGCCGCTTTACGAGCAGAGCGCGACGTGTTGCGGACGCATGTGGCCACACTCACGCAGCAGGTCCAGGATATGCAGGTGATGGATTCTTTGTTTTCCTGTCTGATTCCAGCACATTTCATAGCATGCTATTGACAGAGCTATGCTCGGGATTTATATTGCGTGATCGAATCAGAAATGAGGAGATCCTTAGAAGTGATAAAGTCACTAATATAGCCCAGATCAGCAGGTGAAGGGGCACATCGCTGGTAGGACCGATAGATATTGGGACTAAGAAAGTTCTGTGGGAAATGGTGAAGAACACGTATATACGTCGAAAACTTGGACGACCATACCCAGGCGATGAGAAGTCTTGTTTAAGGTCGAAAACGCTGAATTAAAGTAGCCGTACCGGTCCATGACTCGGTTTGGAGCTGACATATATACAGCACTATATAGGTGAACTGAATGAACGGTTTAGACATGTACTAATGGATATTTCTTTGCAGAACCTCCAGGAACAATACGACGCCCTCCTCCAGATGTACGGCGAAAAGGAGGAGCAGGTGGAGGAGTTAAAACTGGATCTACAGGATGTTACGCAACTGTACAAACAACAGCTGGATGAGCTCGTCGCGTTAAGGGAACAAGCTAAGCGATAAAGTTAAGTTAAATAATTAATCCTTTATAGTATTGAGGACACTGATCTTGGCGACTCAAACTCGTTCATTCTTTTTTATGAATATGTATTTTTGTATTTACGCCAATATTATTATGATTTTATATGTATGATGATTATTATGCGTTAACCAAGGTATCAAAAAGTTAATGACACCTGTGGAAATTCTAATAGTCGAGTCGGGTAACTCAACTAGACAATGTCACTAATTCCTAAATCTTAAGCGATATTAAACAATATATTTAATGTAATAATTAAGAGAGTGTGACTGATAACCAAGATCCGAGTCACTTATTTCCTGGTTCATATAGGATGGGACTATCGTCCAGGCGACATGGGGGAGCGCTGTTCAAGGTATTCTGTATCCCCTAGCCTCCACCTAGGGGGGACTGGGGGTAATGGGGTCATATAATATGGCATGTAAATTGTAAAAACTATTTCAAGCTAAGCATTCCTCCAAATCACTTCCCAGCAAGTATTAAATTCATTTAATTTTAAACTTTCAAAGACATTGCCATGAGCTCACTTCTACTAAGCGTATGTTACTCTTATTGGAAAGTCGTTAAATCACTTCATCTTAGTAGAGTTGGGTTGAAAAGGTTTTCGTTTATAATTTTGTCTGTATAATTCGCTAGGCGTTACACATACGGAAATTATAGGTCCGTTGTTAGACATTAATGCCAAATTTAACAACATTTTAATATCGATAGTTCCTCACAATTCTTATGTTGAAAGGTTTTAATATATAAAAGGAATACAATGTGTATTAGTATGAGAGCTTATTGTATTATGCCTATAAAATACATGAATATTGTTTTTATTGATCGCGTAAGGCATTCGCGGCCATTATGCAAAGCTACTTTTGTTTTCGAGCTGTTAGGCCGGAGTAATTGAGAAATAGTTAAGCTGTTGGGCTGCCCAAGTGTTAAGGTTGAAATAGGTTGCGCGAGAGGTGTATGTATCAATAGGTCGAAAAAATTCGACGGTGACTTGTAGAATACGGTAGGTCAATTGGTTTCATACAAGTCCCGCCCGTGTTGTAATTTTCTTTCAATCTAGAATACATTTTTGATCTGATCATCTTACTCGGTATTGTCGTTTCGCCAAAACGTCGAGAAACATTTCCAAATTACGACGGTCGAACAGCTCGACAACCTAGGTAGCATACTTTTTGTTAATTTAAATTTTATTGGTGCGTTTATGTTCAAAGTCAGTTTTAAAATGTGTTTAACATTACCCGTTTCCATAAAATTTTGAAATACCACAATGGCGGACCTTTTATTCTTATAAACTAAAGCTGTGCCTTTGTAAATGCTTATGTTATAAGTAATACTGTTTGTCGCTTAGTTTGTTATTTGTTTTCGTAAAAAAGGTGTAATTACATCAGGTTTATATAAATTAAAAGTCTATAGAGGTAGCTCCATTGTAAAGCTCAACACGTTCTAGTCTCGTGTCATGAAATTATTTCAATCTTTATCGAAATTTATATAGTACAGTTAAACTCAAAAAAAAGGAAAAGTAAGAGAAAAAACATTGAAAAAACAAGCTAAACCAACCAAAGCCAATTAATTTCGACGCTTAAAGAGTTTGTCGTTAAATAGAGTGAGTTAATGGGTTTACTGTATATGTATTTCTTAGTTCTCGGAACTATGTATACAAATCATTTAGGCAGTCTTTTATTATCATGCTTTGCTTTAATTGTACTTAGTTGGAAATTAATAAAAAACAATATTTATTGGAAATTAACAGATAGTTTTTACCATACTTTATGGAAGCGGGTAAAAAACTTATTGTAAATACTAAATATATTGTGATATGTATAGAATTTTTTATTGTAAATGACGTCCTTTTAGTATTATATGATGTTTTGTTTTTATAATTGGTAATAATTTTATAATAATGTTATTTAAAATGTCATAGTCACGCCTACTTCTTTCATCTATATAATGAATTGCCATATTGTATTGAATTTGGTTCAAATATATTGTCTTAAGGTGTAATAAAATCATGCGCCGCTGTTTTACATTTTTTTTTCTCTTAACATATGTTTGGGACAAGCACGAGGTTCTTATTCTTGAAGTTTATAACATCTTGCCAAAATACGTTGTTGACCTGATTTAGCTACAAAGCCAGTCGCTCTTTTCTGAACTACTATTATCGATTTGGATATTAATTTTATATGAACACAGCTTTATTGTTCTGTTTATCAATAATTTTTTTGTTATGTTATTATTCAGGCAAGATTTTAAAATATTCAGGTCTTTCGCAGTGGTTGCCGCCAATACAAAACCTGAATTTCAAAAATTAAACAAAGAAGAATATTAGAAACCTGAAATGATTTAAACAAGACCCTTTTTAACGGGTTAAAACGCCAAATGTATTATAGTTAGTTGATCCAGAAAAAGTAAAAAAAAAGGAAGCCAAATAAAATAACCATTTAGACATACACCATTTATTATTATAAAGAAGTAAACTGTAATGAAGCGACACATATTCTCTAAAGAAAACTCTGTTGTTGTGGTAAATACAATGAGCTTGTCACTATTATTAGGATACGACGTAAATAAATGTCCGTTTTTCATATAAGACAAACATATCTGTACCCGTTTCACTGCCCGATTTTATTAACAAATACTTTTTTTATTAATGGCTTAATTAGTTTTATTTTGTTCTCCGGAATTCGAACCTAGACCGGAACTGAATTACAATGCGTTGAGCTATGTAAGCTGTTCCGACATATAAACAAATAACGTATGAAATAAATCCGCTACATCTGTCGACATTAAGGCTATAGTAAAAATATGCTTGGACTGAAGTAAATTTTGTGAGTTTATACTTTTAGTAAGAATGGTTTCACAAAATAGTATTTACAACAAAATGAGAGTTTCCTTCACAATCACACATAAATATACGATATAGAGCAGTAATTATTAAGAAGCTTATAACATTCACTCGTCAATCAAACTAGGTTTAATGCGTTATAATTGTATATTAAAAATTACGAGAGCCCACACTACTATATGAGCGTGTATGTATAATTAAGTAGAATTACATTTATATCTCCACGAAATTTTCAGAAAAACTAAATAAAAACGAATTTGAAGCAAATGCAAAGAACAAAGTCTAACAAAAGTCATGATGAGGTTTTAATTTTTTTTTATTGTTAATGTATAACAGAAAATTAAATAAAAACTGAAACATTTTCTTAGTTATTTACTTTTATAAAACTTAAATGCATTATTGCAATAAATATATGATTTTGAATTGAAGGGTTGCGATGTAAAATTTTAATTCAATGTCGAATCGTTACGAAAGGCTGAGATATAATAAACTATACTTCACTCCAAACAAATTTATAAAATACGTAAACAAATGTCATGAGGGACCCTACGTTTTTAAAAAGGGGTGAATTGTACTACTAAAATGGTTTTATTTAAGAAAATCCTCTTGATGACTCTGGTGGCTTTCGTAGATAATTATGTAGTAACTTTTATTTTAATTACTATTTAGCATTATTAAGACACATATTTAAAAATCGTTTGAAACTTGTGAATTGCGACCGTAAGAAGTGAATGAGTTTTTAAATATATTTTGTAAGCCTGAATTTTCGTCCTTCGTTAGTTTCCTTCCTTGCTTAATACGATAGTATCATTTAATATTGGGGAAACAGTATAAAAAAATAGATAATCATGAAGTAAATTAATATTTAATAATAGTTGACGGCCTGATATATTATTTGTATAGTTGTACACGTGAAATATTCTGAAGATTTTTTTTTCATTTTTGTCACGCCCTCTATAGACAATTAAATTCCTAAATAGACCGCCGACTTCTAAGAAATAATTCTATGTAATATATTATTTAGATAATGATGTGAAATATGAAGTTGTGATATTACTAATGAACAAACAGGAAGACAAAAAACGATATTAAACAAAACAGAAGTGTAATGAGTGAACTCGTAAATTGAATAAAATGATTTTTATTCTGTGTGAGCTCCATCTAAAGCTAAGCTATACTAAGCACGGATATCTAATAGCGCGTGATAATCATCAACTGCTGACACATCGAAATTACAACAATCAAGAACAGCTTAGATCTGCGCTTGCGCATTAATCTTTAACATTGAATAAAAGCGCGAGTTTGTGCTCTTATTGATCGCTAGTTTATGCCAGCAATTCCGCAAGACTTACTTTCGACCTTATGTTCATAGATATAAGGTCGACTTTCGGATTGTCATATCACCGACTCGGGCGTTCGCCCCTCCCTAATCTGTGAAATGTAACACGGCGTACAGTCCGTGACATGCCGTTAACGTATGTGGAGCCCCCCCTCGCTCCGTCTAAATGGATACTCAAGCGCGCGCGGGCCGGGTGGCGCAGGCGTCGCTTGCGTGTGCGGTGTCCCTTGTCTCGTGCGATGTCGCGACACTCATCGTTCAGACCCAGGCCATCCAACCTTCGTACATCATGCATAGATTGTCAACGTTCGTCGCTTCCGATATTATGTACTCCACCTGGGGGAAGGTAAACGTGGTTGAAACAGAGGTTTAAGAGAGGATTCAAAATGATTGGAATTATTTTGTATAAAAACAAAAATAAATAGACCGCAGATTGTCCATGTGTATGTAAGTGATAAGGATCATTTTTCTAGATCCGTGTTCAAATAAATCATTTTTAACGGTTTTAAACGTAAAATATCCTGTGATCTCGGCTATTTTACAGCATCCGAAACTCCGCGTTTTAGTAAAAATAAAAAATTGACAAATATATATCGCTTTTGACATTTTAATATGTATTTGCGTAAGTTAGAGATAATATCATGTCCTATGAACCCAATAGGATGGACCTTATACGCTGTCCTTACAAATTAGGTGTATCAATAAAATAGTATCGTCACCTGTTCAGAGGGTGTGGCTCGTCTTGTCGGAGTACTGCTGGAGCTGGTGTTACCAGTAGCACTCGCAGATGTGTTGCTGGCTGATGAGGGCAACTCACGCCCCTCAAGTTTAAGACGCACTCGACGCCACACGCCAGCACCTACCGAGTTGCGTTGCTCCCCTAAAATATAATGTAATTTATGAGAAACATATCCATATGCATATTTTCTATTTATTTATAATATATGCGGTGATTGTACTAGTTCATGTCCCGCCAAATGTATGCGTCAAATTTTTACCTTATATGTACAATAAAATGTAAAATTATTGAAGTTTTCAAACATGACGCTCTGTTATTTCTAAATCTGCATAGAGCATTGAACCTCAATACGAAGGTGTTAAAATTGAAATTATATTGCGCGAGAGTTGGAGAAATTTAACTTTTTGAATATTTACTCACCGTGTCTATTGGGATGCGTACGCGCCGCCCCCACAGCCAACTGACGGCATAACTTCTTGTTGTTGCTATCCGACAAATTTGATGGTAGTCTGAAATTATATAAAACATTTTAACATACAGCAAAAAAAAATAATTTAATTTTAAATTTAAATTATTATTATCAATAATAAGAGAAATAGTATTGTCTACCTTTCTTCAAATGATATATTTGTTTCAAATGCATGATAGCTCATATACGATGACGTGTGTCGTATATGAGCTATACATGGTTCGGGTAACGTGCCAATTTTAACGTTAGATAACATTCTTTGATACTTACTCTAATAAAAGGTTCATTAATTCAGGTAACTCAGTTATGAGCGCCTGCGCACAGTGCGACACCGCTTCCACGTCGCGTTGGTTTGTCGCTTCCTTCACAATTGTATTCAATTTGTCTGTCACTGACTGCCAACGATCTAGGAACTCCCTTGCTGGGTTTTCGCTCTGCGCAGGAAAAGAAACATAAATATGACTACCTATCCCATTAATGTCGAATCTTTGAATAGCGACACACCACGCTGTTCCAGTGCAGGTTGGTGGGATTTAACGACTGAATTAGTGATGATATCTGGGATCAACGACTTAACGCGATCTCCAATATACGTGGGTGGTGACATCTCTTACGTCAACTTCAAACTAATTAAAAATTCACCCTAGGAACTGGGACTTGAACCCGGCAGACCTAATCTAAAAAAAAAAATGTTAACCGGACTACGTCTCCCGGGTTCGAGCAGCCAAGGAATACCAGCGAGATGGATACCACGCAACACGACAACAACTTCTTGATATCACTCTCAAAATCATTTCGTAACATATATATGTTCGCTTATCTTTAGTAAGACAACGAAAATCAATAACAACATTTAATCTAATAATAACCTCTGTTAACGCATGGAGTGGAGCACGCAGTTCGTGAAGCAATGCAGCACGAGCAGCAGCTGGCGTTCTAGTGGCAGTGGCAGCGCTTTGCAGCGCGGTTCCAGCTGAATTTAATTTAGCACGTGCGGAGGTGGCAGCACTGTTCACGCTGTTTGACATATCGCGAACGAGGGCCGATACGCTGTCCACCTGGAAACATATTATAATTAGGAATTAAAATATGTAAATATAATATTTATACATTTGGATCGCGGGTTCGATCAACGTATCTAACATGTTCTAATCGATGAATTTTATTTCTGAAATATAGGTCGTAATTACGACTAGCTTAATCGCGTTTCGGTTTAAGTCGATGGACGCGAATGTATGCAAAAGACTTGGAGATGTTTGGCATCTATCAAAAAAGCCTTCCAATATGACTAATAGTTCTAGAAAACATATTATGTAACCGATGTTATGAACACTTCCGTCGTATGCTAAATTGGCCGTTGTCTGGCTGTACAATAAATGTTAAATATTTTTGTCTAACGACTCATGATTCAAAAAAACATGACAACGGTAAAAAAAAAGGATTTACAATTCATTCAAATTGATGGTTTATGGATATTAAGACCTTACCCATTGCGTGTCAATATTCCCTTCGGGGTGCAGCATCTCCATTAAGGACTCTTCAACCGGAGACACCTGTAGCGAGTACTTCTGTGCTAATGTGCAGGCCTGAATAATGTCAGCAGATTATTATAATATGAGAAATTCATAATTCATGCATCGTATAGTAAGGGCTAAGCATTCTCAAATATTACAAGATGCTATTGGTTGGTGGAATTGTAGCAGTGCACGTCAACATTTTAATAATCAATTTACAATTTATAACGTTTCGATTTCGTATGTCGAGTCTGTAGATTTCAGGGGTATTTCATGTAGCATCAAATGATGGTTCATTGCTTGTCTGGTCTCCTCTATAAAAGGTACAATTTCTTTAAAAGCTTATTGAAGATACTCCCTACCTTCTCCCAATGTGACAAAGCAGTTCTCGCAGTTCTTGCAGCCCGCTGCGCCCTATGCGCGCGGGCAGCTCTGGCAGCCGGAGCAGCGCTGAGTGCAGCAGCGGTTCGTGCGTGTAGAGACAACGCCGCTCCTGCTGTAGTTAGTCGCGATGCGCGCTCGCGCCGCATCGACCAGGCACTTTCTAGGCCCCGAACTACGCCTCGAAGAGCCGGGTTAGCACCGGCACCCCACTTCACTCTACAAACAGATTACAATTTATAAAATAAAACTAAATGTCATATAGAGAGTCATGGTAAATTATTTAAAGAGCAAACTTTTATAAATTATCAATGAATATGGTTTCAAACAATGAGTGATTAGTAGCATACACAATTAACTATCACTGAACAAAAATAACCGACATAAAAGCAGGGATATAGAAAGAAAAAGTAATTAACTAAATGAATTATTAATTTTATAATATAATTTTGAAGACTGCATACAATAACTGTGCATATATATTATAAAACTTCCTAAAAACTGACATTTTCAGCAGTCTTTCATATGTTTTCATTTACAAGTATTTTGTAAGTCAGTGCTTAATTTACAAAATTTTAAAAATTAATGCAGCATAAGAAATATTGAACCAAAAATGACCTTTGATGGGCCGATTGCATTAATCCTTGCGCCTTGGTGACGGCTGCGGTCAAACGCTCTACGGCAGCGCCTAGCTCTTTGGAACGACGCGCTAGCGCCGCGCCCGAATCTTGATTCGTGTTCAACACCTAGAATTAGTTTTAAATCTATTAACATGCATATCAAATTAAAGTTATCCTTGAAATTTAAACAGAAAGAAAAATTGAATGTGTACTTAATGGAGAGTTTGTAGTTTATACAATATAATTAACTGCATAACTCCCAATTATATGTATAGAATTTTACTAATTTATATTTTTTTACTAAGTTATATTTGTAACGTGTATTTCTAGATCTTACCTCAGCGTGTAGATGTGCGTGTGCGGCGGCGCGGAGGCGGTTAACGCGCGCTGCGGCCCTCGCACGTTCCGTGGCCCGCACGGCCACGCCCGCCCGATACAGACGAGCACGGGCGGAAGCGATGTTTGCTGCCAGATTCGCGCCGCGCTCGCAGCCCGGTCGGCACACCTTCTCGCAGAGTGACTCTAGCGATACACTCCATGATGCTCCTGCAAGACATATAATATAATAAACCGCCTATTTAATACCCCGATTTGCAACATGTTTCAGAAAAGTCATAAATTAGAAAAATATTGGACCCGGTGAGGATCGACCTTATTAGAATGTAATGTTTCCACTTTAACTTGAAAAAGGAAAGCTCGTATCCACAAGCGGAAAAAAAATGAACTTACAGACTTTACATATAATATTATTGATATCGAGTACAAATGGCACAATTACGTTTACTATATGACAACCCCCCAAAAATTAATTTTATTTCTAGTATATTTTGTTATCAGAAACAACAATATATAATGTCACAGACAGATAAGTCGTGCAGTTTTTTTTATTACCGAACCCTAAAAAGCAAGCATTTAACATTTAGAATTTGAATTTATTTATTACAGTATTAGGTCAAACTACACTCACCAATCTCTTTCTGTTCAACCTCGGCATGCAAGTCAAGTCTGGCCCTTCGTAATAAAAGACACAGAACAGAAGCCAACGCCTTCGAATGGACACCTAGTACGCAGCGGGAGACGTACTCCGCTGTAAATCTGAAAGTGGACAAATAATTAACAGGTGTTTATTTATTTCTTAAAGGTAGGACTTTGGTAATTGATAATTATTAGCAAAGTCAATACAGTATAACACAGTAGTAACAAATAAGAATAAAGTTTAAATGCATCCTGCAGCTAATATATAAAGCTGAAGAGTTTGTTTGTTTGAACGCGCTAATCTCAGGAACTACTGGTTTGAATTGAAAAATTGGTCTTTTTTTGTTAGTTAGATCATTTATCGAGGAAGGCTATATATAAAAGATCGCGCTGTGACTAAGAAACAGCTGGACAAAATGGGGAACAACTATCAACTTTGTGAGTTTCCGATGAGTACGCGGCAAAAACGGTACCGTCCTCGATAGTTTCCCAAATTTATTTTTATTGGAATCAGTAGTTCTTGAGAATAACGCGTTCAAACAAACAAACTCTTCAGCTGTATATATTAGTATAGATAATCTTCATCGAAATATATAAATATGTAAACTTATCATCCTACATAAGACAAAGTATTTATAAATGTAATCACCTTCTGACAGGCTTGCAAAGCGCAGCGTCGTCGTATAGCGGCAACGGTGCGTGACCATTGAAGGCCCTCGCCAGCTGTGTACACATCGCGAACACCTCCCCCACCGTCTGGATACGCCGGACCAAGAAGATGTCTTCCAGCACAGAACGGAGAGAGGGGCGCTGCATAGCCGCCTGGAAACAATTGTAGGAAGTTTCATTATTTAGTATTGCTATGTTTCGTTTACAACAAAGCTTTTAAATAAAACATTTATAACGGTTAAAAACGCGAAGTACATAAGCCTATGACTACGACTGATGCAAAGCATTCGCAACGTTGGGCCGTAGTTATAATAAAATAAGTCAACTAATATAACTCTCCGTTTTAAACCGTTAAGTGTCCTATTTAAAGATTACTTTTAAAATAAAGGTAGTTTATAGTCCGCTCTCACTAAACGGGTTACCAAATATTTCGTTAAGCGGGGACATTCTGGGTTCAGATCCTGGGGAAACGATAAATTCTTTCGGTCGGGCAGGGCACAGCAGTCAGATAAACTTGCCCGTGAATAAATTAGATGGGTGAAAGGGACACAACAAATGTGTTAGTTAATCCGTAGTCACTGATTCGAATCGGCATCCATACCGTTCCGTACTGTTGCTCTAACCAATTGAGACAATTTTTTTAATAAACATTATGCTATCACTCAACACCTGAAAAATAACTATGGGTTTGAAAAATTTTGGTATCCCTTAAAGATTAATTAAATAAGATTTATAAAGAATATAGAAGCAGATTCTAATAAACTAATAGAAAGTACAAGATAACAGCGATACACACCGACATGTGTAACGCATCATTTATGTGATCAATCTTCCTCCAAGCTTGGGGGACAGTCGAATTCAGGTGGTCAGCCAGCTCGCGGCTGCGTAGTTCAACAGCGGCGAACAACCCGTTAAAGCCCATCAGTAGCATTCTGCCTCCAGATTGACCTTCTTCGGCCGTGGTCGAGAGGAGCAACTCGTATCTTGCCCGAAGTTCCGCAGCCAGCAATTGAGATCCACCGGCTGGTGACTTCGCAAAAAATATATAACAATTAGTTACCTATCTGTAAAATAATAAAAAAATATATACGTTTCTTAATAATATTTAAGTCTATTCTAGACGACGCGAAATATACGTCACGGGTCAGTACTGCAGACAGTATTTCATCGTACTTTTAAAGTAAATAAGAACTTTAATAGTCATATAAGTAGATGCAAACATACCTCCATGTCCATCAATAAATATCTAAAATGAACTTCCAGTTGCGCCAGCATTTCGTTGAGGGGCATTGGCGAGTTCATGATGACAGCGTTCAGCTCATTGATCATGTTAAGAGCTGATGGGTCCTCGGAGTGCACCTTCTTGAGAGCCTCCGGAAGAATTATCGTGCTGAAGTTATAATTCAACTGCACTAAATCAGCTAATAGGAGATTCGCATTTCTGACGCATTCGACTGCTACAGGCATCGATGCGTCTTCCACTGACGCCGACTGAAGCGGTAACAGAGAGAGAAGTTCCACCGCCTGCATTGATAAAGCACTCATGTCGTCCAAAAACCACTCCCCTTCACGAGACGTCAGGTCCACGAGGCAGTCCCCAGCGCTTTGAGCGCCGTTTTCCAGCATCAGATATCTTCTGTTCAAGTTGCACAGCATCCCAATCACAACGCTCTCCAATGCAACAGCTGCACCCTCTTCGGTCCTCACCCAGTTGCTGATATTATTCTTTGCCTCTTTGTAAGTTTCTTGCGCGATCGCGATAGCGTCTGATCCTCCTTCTATTTGCAACCTCTCCAGACATTTATTGAGATGAGCATTTGCTTCCACGTTCAGTTGCTGAAGACGATAGTTATATGCTACTATATGTTGTGTGTCTGTGGAATTATTGTCTGCGTTAACGAGAGCTGTTACTTGGTTGGATACATCACGGCACACGTCTGGGGATTTGCTATCTAATGCGGTAGCAAGGAATTTTCGGAACATGGCGATGCGGTGGTATTCCGTTTGACTCTGTGGGAAGTACTGAGAGACAGCGACGTACTGCGATAGTAGTTCTAGGCAGGATCTTATCAGGAGGTTCGTCTGCTGCATGCTCTGGTTCAATTCGGTTTCAGCTTGCTCGCATTGAGTCAACATCGAGCCTTGTCCGGCGTTAGTCAAAAATTCCTTGATGTGTTCAAATATTGGTTTCTCGTCATCTTCGTTGGAACCAGAGAACTCTTGGACCCACGCCATCAGTTGAGGCCCGTTTAAAACCTCATTTGTCGTTGAAAAGTTCTCGATCTGTGTGTCGAAATCGTTGAGGATTTTAACAAGAGCTTTCATAGAGTCTTCGACCGCATTCTTAGCCTGTTTATACGATGTGTATTTCTGGGAAATGGCGTAAAGCGGATGGTTGTTAAGATTAGTACCGTACGATTCTATCTCTTTAATCAAAAGCATTTGTAGGTGACACTCTTGTAATTTGGTTTCTATGGTATTTAGTTCTTCGCTTTCTTCCAACCATTTATCAGCACATTGCTTTACTTCAGGTAACTGTGCCACGAGCTGGTCCCTGAAAAGAAATATTTATAAAATCTTCGAAATATGGAAACCTGAAAATAATATTTGTTCTGTAGCGGTACATCAGTGTTACTACAACAATGCGTTTTCACAGGCGACTGGGCGCCTCGTAAAGATACGTCTCATATATCCTTCAACAAAGAAAAGAAAATACCCGATATTTTTCTTGCCCCTGTTGTTATTATTGACAGCTTATCCTTGAAGAAACTCCTTTTGTTTTAGAAATGCTGAGTAAGGGTATATCGTGTACCATTTAATGTTTGTTAGGATTTTAAAGAGACAATATGTGAACTAAACGCCATTATGAGCACGAGGCAGACGTATTTCTATGCCTGTCTCATCGATGGATTTTATTTACTTGATCGGACTTTTTATCTTGTCTAAAACTATTGTTTCATTCCAGTAATGGTATATATTCCATACGAAAGATATATTATATACTAAATAAAATAATTCTTACGTGACTTCATTGATGCTGTGCTTCAACTCGCGAACCCTAACAGCCAACATAGCTCTCGCAGCGCGTACATGTCTTGTGCCCCGGCGTCGTCTTCCACCTCCCCACTCCACCAGAGGATCGTAGACAAATGCTTCCAGTAACGTCAGGAGAGTTTCTCGACCGCGGCGCATTGTTCGGATGACGTGCTCGCATGCAAGTCTGAAGATACCCTGGTTAAGGACATAAACTAAATTCCAGATCAAGAAGCTTTAAATATGTTTGAAGCCTACCATGATGTAATATACATTAAATCTATTCCAATATAATTACATTTAATTAAACTATAGAAACATTTAATACTGTTAAGATTAAATTATGTTTCATTTTTAATAATCCTAATATATTTTTGTTTGCAAATACTCTTAAAATGTATTTTTTCATATAAAACATTCGTCATAGTCAATTTTTAAAAAGCCCACATCCCTCTAGTCACTTATGTTATGCCTTACAGGTACATATGGAAATGTATGCTGGTTGTATGTTAACGGAATAAGTGTTGGCCTAGTTAACGACACGCTTACGACTTAAACGCAAACCAACCGGCAACTATTGTTGGGCTAGTAAAAACGCAATAATCTGCTTGTACACCATTCACTTAAGTAGATGATTGGGTTTGTAGATTTCCTTTTGCTATGCCCGTATGGGACATACATAAAAACGGAAACTCGCTTACTAAGTTATCATTTGTAGAGAATATAGTAACCCCTCACAAATAGTCAGGTATAGAAAAAAAAAAAAAAAAAAAAGGGACCTCAAGTGCTTAGGTCGATCCCGCCGCCTCAAAATACAATGTTTTAAATCAATTTCAAAATAGATAACCTCTTATCAACAGAAATGGCCCCTACACAAAAGCCAGTTTCGTGGCCTCAGTCATGTACGGGGAAATATTTGCGGTGCTCTCATCGTCAGCGGAATCCACGCTCGCCATCAATTAAACGCAGTGCAATCACCAGCTTCATTACTCTATGCTGAGTTGAAATCTTTTCAGCGCGACATTGAATTGTGGCAGTGTTATACCCTTTTCGTAAATGAATTTGGAAATGACCGTTTACTATATCCGATATTCATCTATGCTAAATACTTCCGTTGAAAGCAATGTATGGCTAATAATAAAGGGGTAGTAAAATTTGATCTCCACCACCGAGTCGAAAGTGTTTTTAATCAATTTATATGATGTTTAATGCTTGTTAGGAATAAATGAAAATCTGTCTGAAATTCCGTCAGAGCCTCAAACGAAAGAAAGAAGTACGGCCAAATATACTTGTTACTACTATTTGTTAAAAACATCTGATATACTGAAAAGAAAATACATATAACAACTATACCTATACTAGTATATATTTCCTTGTGTCGCAAACTTGTAAAGTTTTCTAATAAACGGCGCTGCCTTGAGCCATTTTGGCTCCCTTTACTGCTCAGATTGTGAAACAGAATTACAATAAAAGAAAACCCAAAAGTTACGCATACGTCAGTGCTTAGATCTTAATATATGTTGGATTTATTGGGAGGCATATACTTGAGTTGCAAAGAGAGTAAATTTTCAAACAGTATAAAAGAAAATAAAATTCTATATTACTTCAAGTGACGATAATTGTTCAAAAAAATGGTAGATTCGAAAAGTAACGAAAACATGAGTCTCAAGTTTGGTAATACATGAACTAACTACCTACAAATAATCATTCAACAACAAATTTTTGGTGCCAAAAAGACACTACATCAATAAAAATATAGCAATATGTACATGCGCTTATAAATAGCAGTATGGGGACCCAGGTGTTTTATTTTAACCTGGTCTCGTCTCCCACTTGACAGATAGTAGTTGGCTTTTATGCGACACCAGCGGGACAGTCGGCAAACTTGTAGCGACAGCAATGAATGACAAGACCTCGCAAGAGTGACGTAGCGCCTTGGAATATATTAGGTAGAGAACTACTGTAACATTTTCTATGTAGCGATCTAAAATGTAACTAATGTGATAAATTTTACGCAAATCGACTAATTGTATTAAAAATTTAAAAAATAATAATTGAAAATTAAAACTTTTAAAAACACATCATCAATAAAAAATATAAAGCCTGTAAATACTTGTATTGTAAAACTACCTACATTATTTAAAGTAAAATATGCTAACGCTTTAGACTTCATTATCTCGTAACATTACAAATTCGTTTACCATAAGACAACAGAGGGAGGGTAATTAACTTTAATTAAGAAAAATAATTAATTCTGATAATCATCGCTATCACGAGTTTGCTTAGATCGCTGGGATAAACCAAATTAATCAGAAGTCTACGTTTCGTTAATTAAAAAGGACATTACATACGAAAATAGCAATTGGGTTCAATGTTTTGATTTATAATTGAATGGAAACGTCAATATAATGCTGCTGTATTTTTAATTTACTTATACAATCTGCTTCAAATGTAAGAAATTTTCCACATTTTGTAGTAAGAACGGAAAAGTTTTAATAAAATGTCGAAGTTCAGAGCGACGAGAATCCGACACACTCTTAGATTCCTGACACCTGAAGCTTCTAGTTCAAGTTGATAATAAATTAACTACTCATGTTACAAACTAGAGATATGCACTGATATGTAGATAAGTAATATTTAAACTTCTTTAATATGATCTGATAATAATATACATCCTGCCGGGCCTTATGAATTTCTTAACATTCTTCACATGTTATTGTATACGATGTTATTATATAATTAAAAACTCTATTAAGATTGAAGAAAATTTACTACTCGGGATTTGAATCCCCATGCATAGCATACCTTGCTGGTGTTCTAACCAATCGAGCTACCGTATACCGTGTCATATTTTTTTTATTAATTTAAATTGTTTTTTTTTACCGTAAATAATGAATTCTGAAGCAATTTGCGTTGTTAAGTAATCGTTGTAGGAATAGAGTCCGTATAGCAGCACCATAGAGCTACGAAGTAGAGGGGCTACGGCGTAGCGAATGTAGCACGTCTAGACTTGCAATGTTGCATTAGTAATCATATTTATAGTACAAAAATACTTTGATAATGAAAATTATTTTACAAGTCAAGCATTTTTTTATAAATATACATATTGTACACAGTTTTATAATCCCCTACAATACAATACCTTTCCTTAATATCAGCGAATCATATCCCACAATTAGTACATACCACCTGCTCCTTTTCAACATGTTACCTTTATATATTGTGAACATTCACTGTGAATAGAATTACATAAGAATCCAATTTGACCTTTAGTAAAATGATTTTACAACAAAACGAGTACGCGAGTAACGAGGTGATATCACGAAGACTGGGTATTGAGGATTTGATAAAAGATAATAATGTGCGAAACACGAACGTGACTGTCATTAAAAATAAGCGTAAGTCGAATATTATAATTTCGATTTGAAAGGAGCACAAAAAGAAATTAGTGTGCGTTGGAATAACTCCAGTTATATTGTCAAGGGCTTTCGTGATAATTTTGCAAAGCTTTTTGGTGTTTCTGGCAGCCGTCTTGTACAAACTTTGATTTCCGACATTTATTGTTATAATGATAACGTAACGACATTTATATTTACTCGGGGGGATTCGTACATATTTTTTTTTTTCAAGAATTTCATAAGATTTCACATCATTTATATAACATCTAAATATTTTTCAGCTTTAGACAATCAAAAATTCACAGTCGGAAACGGAAACGCGGATTTTAACTTACACGTCGTGTGTTAGTCTACCTTTTTTTGGTAATCGTTTGCGACAAAACGTGTTGGACAACATTTTAAAAGTTATTGATACTATTTGAGCATCGGCTCAATTTATAATTTCATAAGAATATGATAACATGTTCGACATACGTTGTCTTAAGCACATATAATATGGATGGGCATATGCCGTTTTAGAGAATATCGTACTGTCATCTAATATTATATTGGTGATAATTAATATCATTTATATCCCCAAAGCAATCAGGCCCCAAAGAGGGGCGATTGAATTAAGAATTTCAAAAGAGATCAATTCGGTGCGAGGGATGGTACAGCTGCTAATATTCCCTCATTTTTAAATAGGTCTTTGTGTAATTGAGCGATATCTTTTATGGTAATGGTAATAAACCGATATGATTAATGGTAAGAGAACGGAAACGTGGTCGATGTTTTATTTTCCGACTCTTGGGCTTGTTTATAAAGTTTGCACCGCGGAGTTTACAGTAATTAAAAGTTCTTGCGAACAAATTAAAAGTTAATCGGGTTAGTATATATTAGCATTTCAAGCAACTTTAAATTATTGTTTTGCCTTTAAAATCCGAAACTGTTTTATAAGTAATGTAACTTACAATTTATTAGTAACATAAAAAGCAATGCGTTTTAACGTGAAGTGTCAGATAATGTATTAAAAAACGAATTAAAATCGTCGAAAAAAAAATTAAAAATATTAAAAAAATTAACGACTCGGGCAGGACTTGAACCGGCGTCGTCAGCGTTCAATGCTGTTGCTCTAACCAATTGAGCTACCGAGTCCTACGACTCATCGTCGAATTTATTTAAATCTATTGATATATGCACCTCTCGCGCAATGTAACCTTAACACTTGCGTATTAAGGCTCAAAGTGTTTATGCTTTGCAGCTTAAGAAAACCATTAAAAATGAATTTACAAAGTTATAACTTTTGAAAACTTGAATATGTTTTACATGTTATTGCGCATGATGGCACTACATAGATTAAACATTGAAAATAAATTATTTATTTTCGATTTTCAATTGATTTTTTTCAAACATATTTTTTTATAAATATTTACTTTTCATTCAAGATTAATTTGACTTTCAGACTTTCAGCTTCGTGTTTAGAATAAAGAATGTTTTGATATCAAAGAGAAGTGAGAAGCTCAATTACCAGGTAAGTAAGTCACTTATTGAAGGTATAAAACTTTGCTTTTAACAATGTACACTCCAACAATTCAACAACTGTAGGAAATACATTTGCGAGAATGACACTGAGGGAATATCAATGCGGGGCGGGCGTCTGGCAAAATTTCGCACGTTCCTTAAAGAAACCATTTTGTATGGAAACGTGACCAAATAATTTCGAGGGCGCTCGATCTGAGCCGAATGTTGACGTCGCTAATTATTATTGGATTGGAATTATGA